AAGTGCGGGGGGGGGGGAGTACCTTTCCTGGACTTCCTCAGCGGTGGGTTAGCTGGCTGGCTGGCTGACAGTGTGTGCTGCTTCTCTGCTTAACCTCCCCCCCCCCCAATAAATGCTGCAGCGGAGCAGTATGTTTTGAAGGCCGTCCAGAGGGCTAGCTGTCCTGCTGGTGCCCCGGGGAGGCTGGCTGCCCTGTTGCCCGGTGTCATGGCTCAGGTAGAGTGTCAAACAACAACAAGGACCCAGCAACCCTAGAGAGTAGACCAAGACAAAAAAGTTGCCGTACAAGTTCAATATACTTATGCAAAGTATGGATAATTTAATACATATTATTTTTGTTTCAGTAGCTGCACATCCAGAGACCGAAGTCCCACCAAGACGAACTTGCTCGAGATTTTAGCTGTTCGTTTCGACCAAAGTCTTTGTCACATCTCAGTTTGTAGTCATTCTTTCTGTTCACAAAGTCAATTCACAAGTGGCTGAACACAGCTCCCTTGTGAATTGACTTTGTGAACAGAAAGAATGACTACAAACTGAGATGTGACAAAGACTTTGGTCGAAACGAACAGCTAAAATCTCGAGCAAGTTCGTCTTGGTGGGACTTCGGTCTCTGGATGTGCAGCTACTGAAACAAAAATAATATGTATTAAATTATCCATACTTTGCATAAGTATATTGAACTTGTACGGCAACTTTTTTGTCTTGGTCTACTCTCTCAGGTAGAGTGTCACCTGACGCTGCCACCACTCTGGTTTTAGGATCCCTTGAGAAGGCCCAGAGCACCCTCCCAAGACCTTCAGACCTCCCTTGTTTGGCCGAATAATAGGCGTGAGAACAACAAGGAAAAGGTCTATTTTTACAGGAAGTCAGCCCAATATGGGAAACAAACAAGGTGCACAAACAATTATCAGTAAGGGGGTGAAAAGAAACCAAATGCCCTAACGTGACTAGACTCACAGTCCCTAGGCTCACTGTCTCAGTGGGGCCTGAGTCTGCCCACCCTTCCTCTCGGGATGAGGGTCTCCTCCCTGCAGCAGCCTTCCTTCTGGCTCTGCCCTCTTGGGAGAAAGAACAGCTCTTCTTCTGTACCAGCTCTTTTGTTATAAGTCCCCTTTCTCTGTGATTGGCTAAAACTGGCACCAAAACCTCTCAGGGGCTTCTGGCGACAGTTGTAGGCCAGGCCTCCTCCCCTCCCACTGCTACTCAGGCTTCCTGGGCCTACTAGGCCTCTAGCCGCACAGCCCAGAGCATGACACCCGGGGTTCCTCCCCGCTCCCACTGCTGTAATGTTCCCGGGTGCTTTGCCACTTCCAAGAGCTGGTGAGTAATTCTGAAGGAAAGGAGGTCTTCCTCGCCCATTTCTGCTCCCTTCCGCAGGTGTCGCCAGAAGATACCCAGACGCAGTTCCTGATCCCCTTGGGCTCTGCGGGCAAGAACAGGGCCGAGGCCTCCCTGGAGCGGGCTCGGGACCTGAACCCCATGGTGGACGTGAAAGCAGACCAGGAGAACGTGGAACAGAAGCCGGAGGAGTTCTTCACCCATTTTGACGTGGTGGGTCCGGGCAGGAGGGTGGAGCGTGTCCTGGCTTGGGCCTGGGGTTGGGGTGGGGTGGGTTGCGGTTGGCGCGCCAGCTTCCGTGAACCTCACCTGTGTGTATTTCTGGCTTTGTGGTCCCGCCTTTCCCCGCTCTCATCTTGTTAAAATGCACCCTCTAATGAAAACCCAGCAATTCAGGACCAAACACCAAAGGGTGAGCGCCTTCCATAGATTCAAAGCTTGCATTGATTAATTTGTTTATTAAAACATCTACATCTTGTCTTTCCTCGTGGTTCAGGGCGGGCTTTCAGTCTTTACAAAATAGCAAAGCTGATGGCTTGGAGGGAGCCAATTACAGAAGGCTGGTGCCTCCCCCAGAGAAAGCCCCCTCTGCTCTCCTGGTTCCAGACCAAGCGTGATCTGGAGACGGGTGGGCTCTCCTTTGGAGAGGAGCCCCCAGCCCGAGACGTTTTCTATAGCTGGTCTAGCAGCATCTGGGGTGGAGCAGCCGCTGCTGTCGCCAGACCCAAGAGGGCCCCGGAGCCCTCCCTGGGCATAAGGCAGGGGAGAGGGTGAGCCGCCCAGACGGTGCTCTCCAGCACTGCCGAAGGGGCCGCCACTCTGCTGCCAGGGACGGGAGCAGTGGCAAGTGCGTGCCAGCCTAGACGGTGGGCCGTGGGTGATCTCGGGAATTAGGCCCCGCAGAGAAGTTATCTGGCTGACAGCCCTGTTGGGGGGGCGGAGGGGGGTTTGTCAGTCCAGCACCTGCTTCGGGCGTCACCCTGGGGGTGTTCGTCTTCCTCTCTCTCCAGGTCTGTCTGACATGCTGCTCCCAGGAAGTCCTGATGAAGGTTGACCAAATCTGTCACAAAAATGGCATCAAATTCTTCGCAGGCGACGTCTTTGGCTACCACGGTTACACGTTTGCCGACCTGGGTGAACACGACTTTGTGGAGTGAGTCTGGGACTGGGGAGTGATGCTTATTTATTTTATTTTTATTTTATTAGATTTCTATACCGCCCTCCCCAGTGGGCTCAGGGTGGTGTACAACAGTTAAATGTACAATTAAAACAATATGAAACTGACAATTTACACATAAAATCGTAAAATACCGTATAGTTATAAATGTTGTCAGATGACTAGTCTCCCTCTGATACTCTGCGACAGGTTCCAGTCAAATTGGTCTAAGTCTCTTCAGAGCTATCTGCTGAAAATAGGCTCCCCCCTCCCAGGTGCTCTTATCTTTTGGGACAGACCAAGCAAAAATATTAGTCAAGCAGAGAATTGAGAACGCCAAACCGATCTTTCCAGCATACAAAACATTAGGATGAGAGCAATTATCAAAAATACTGTGGGCCCAGCCAACTATTTAACATTTCTTGAAGTAAAAAGGTTTAGGAGAGCCTTCACTCTGGCGAGGTGCTCTGCTGTACTTGAAGGAAAATATAAGAATATTCTTTTCATAGAAAGGCTTTGTACCTGCCCATTAAGGGAGGTTGAGACTACAGAGCACATGTTTTTTTAGATGTCCGTATTATCAGGTTGGCGCGTAATCATCACACCACTGACTGAACAAATTCTGGGCCTCTTTGAAAAAGCTAGACTCGAGTTCCTTCTGTCTGATAGAAATCCCAAGATTACCCACCAAGTAGCCAGTTTTTGCATGGTGGTACTCAGATCACGGAAACCCCAAGGCAGCTGGTTAGATATAGTAGTTTGATATTAGATTAAATTGTGCTTTTTAATGTTTTACTGATGTTGCTGTAGATTTTCTGGGATGTGTGGCCGTGGTCTTGCCATTGTAGAACCTGACGTTTCGCCAGTAACTGTGACTGGCATCCTTAGAGGTATAAACACAGAAAGATGGAATACTCTCTGTGTCAACACAGGCCTGATGGACAGTTGGCCTGGAAAAATTGGGCCGAAAAACTTAGGGCCAGAGAAGCTGAAGAGGCCGTGGCCGAGGCTAGCTGGACGTCCCTGGGGGCGGGGAGGCTCCTGAGAAGATCCCCTGCAGTGGCGCAGAAGCCTCTGCCCGCGGGGCTTCCGGGTCCCCAGGCGGTCTTTCCTTGCGCCCTTCTCCCTTGGGCTGGGCTGCTGGAGGGATCCACCAGAGCGCCACGCTGCATATATGCATGTCCGTGGCGGTTTCCACCCTCCTGAAGGAGATCCTCAACCCCCCCCCCCCCGCACCAGGCTGTGACGGGAGGAGGGGAGTGGCGTGCTCACCCGTCTCTGTGCCTCGCAGAGAGAAGACCAAACCGGCCAGAGCCAGCCAGCCGGTGGAGGACGGGCCAGACGCCAAGAAGGCCAAGCTGGACCTCGTGGAGACCACCATGGTGAAGAAGGTGGGTGGAGAGACCCTCTCGGGTCCTGCGCCGGCAGTGTTCCTTCTAAGCTGAGTGAGTGTGAGCTAGCTCGCAGTTTTCTAGCCTCCAGCTCACACATTGTTGTCTCCGCTCGGGAAGGGATGGGGCTCCAGAGCAAGCTAATCGATGCAGCAGCCCAATCGCTCGCTCACGAGAGCCCTTTCACCGCGGGGCTGCTATTTTGGAAGCTCCTTCCCACTGCTATGCTGTGAGCCACGCAGCTGCCTGTCATTCTCTGGGCCGCATCCAAAGAATGCCATGGAGATGAGGGCCCGCCCTTGTCCCCGGGGCGTTCCACGCCTGTCCGCCGGGGATGCCTCTCATTCTTTGCGGGGTCCGCAGGCCCGTCTGCCGCCCCGGGCCTCCCTCCCCGTGCGAGGGTCGGGCTGTGGCCCAGGAATGC